TTCCAAAATTTTCAGCAAAACGTCCTCCATTCACTGTAGATAAAATTAGGCACACAAAACAAATAACATCAGAAGACCACGAACAATGCATTATCACCGAAGACTGCAATTGCCAATATGCCGAAGACTCATCCTTGAATGATTCGTAATATGTAGGCAAGATTGGACTTCATTCAAAAAGGGGCTAGCGTCGTGTGCTAGTGACCACATTGTTGTAGTTGGGATAAACAACTAGGCTCTGGGAAAAAAGTCCTTGCTACAGGTATAATTTTTGACAACTGAGTATTATTTTTGCTAAGGCCTACCAACAACAGTTGGAGAGGGTGGGTGGAAGAGTTCCGGGTAATCGTCGCATGCCTGTTGGTTTCCTTTGTATTTATATAGATGAACAGTAGTTGTGCCGTTGGCATCTTGCGGGAATTTCCTCTATCATCACAGTTGCTATAATTTGGTAAATTGATTGCTATTCCATTGATACCTTCACTGCTATTAGTCTCAACAGTAGTAGTATAAGCCGCAGTGAAGATTTTGAGGCCTGCTGTTAATGGGCAGAGATGTAGTAGAATATCTGGGTTTAATGTTTTTTGGTTTTGTAGGTGTACTGACTGAATTAGTGGTATTTCTTGCAGTACTGCTGGCTGTATCAGCAGTTGTAGTAAGTCAACTAATTCTAACGGGAGTAGTAGTTGTAATTATAAAAATTTTAGTAGTAAATAATAACCACAATTGTGTGTTTGTGTGCGCGTGCCTAAAACGGTCGCGAAACATGCCAAATTGGGGATATGACATTATCGAACTTGCTGGCCACATTCGTACCTTGCCCATTCCACTAACGTAACCAGCCTTTGTGTCCTGAAGGTCTCTCTCTCCCTCTTTTGAGTCATTGAGACCGGACGTAACATGCTACGTATAATATCCGGTTAGGGGACTATCACCACGATTCTGACCATTTTTATGTGAACAATTATCTATGCTTAATTGACTACATGCGGGGCTAAATCTGGTTGGCCCGTTACGAAAATAACTTTGCTTTTTACTTGCACATACAACGCTTGCTGTTTCTTTTTTATACTGTCATCAGGTTGAAACCGAAGTCGTTAACCAACGTTCTTTGATTAGTCAGCTCACGGCACAGATCGAACAACTCCAGGTGACTTTGAATCAAGTGTCCGAGGAGAACAATAAGCTGAAGCTACGTGTTCACGAGGAAGCCAAGTAATCCGTTTTTGCTACTTAATTGTTTTTTTTTCGATGACGCGTTCCCTCACAAAAGTAGAAGATGCATAATTTAGAAAATCGCTGCCTTCAGGCATCAAGGCTTATGACAAATAACTGGTCAGTATCAACTCCAATGCTTTTTCGGACTACATGGTCCTAAGTCAAGAACTGCTCTTTCATCCCTTTTCTTTCGTGAACGACTAGTCACTGTCGGGGCTCAAAATTGCTGCGCAGTACCAAGTGAATCTTCAGATATCTGCACTGATCTCTACAGTGAACTTGGATCACACCGTAACCATGGTAAAGTCTGCTGCACTCAGCCGACAAGAAGCAATTGTCTACCGCCAACGCGTGTTTTCGGTATCGCCGCAAGCATAGTTTAGCCTGGCATTCCGATGACGATCTCGTGGCCAATAAGACTGCCTACGTTACAGTGGATGTAATGTACCACATCTATGCGGATGACAGCTTGCTGCATGACACCAAAACCGGCTTCTCGATGTTGATAAGGGATAAAACCGGACTCCAGAGATCTCGGGAAGAAGAGGCGTTCACACCTGATCTATAATAAAACGGGAGTTTTTTACTGAACGGTCCGGTTCTCGGATCTGACCAATGAATAATCACGGACCATGCAGCGGTGGAATTTTCTGAGCAGTTGGGCGTCGATATGCCAAATAAAGGATCTGGAACTGGATCGCAGGCCAAAACCGTTCTGCATGGAAAATGTTGCCCACCACCTGGCAGCGGCTTCCGTTGATTCATACGAAATAGAGTCCTACTCATGAGAACCAGAAGTTCTCTTGGTGCTATGGGCTCTAGGGTGCTCTAGGCTATCACTGGTTCTTACTCAATCAAGCACGATTCAATTTAGCCCGATACACCCGAGGCACTGTAACGAAAAACTGCTTGCATTCTACAGTCTTAATTTAAAAAAGACGGAGGCAAGTAATAAGATTTTTAGATTTAGGCTGATAGCATTGCCGACAAATGCAAGGGAGGCTGGAATGGTCATTTCTGGCTTATTAGCCATCATCAGCTGGTCATATCTAACCGCAGGTGGTGCGCCATCCAAGGTTCGAACTCTCGAGCTTTTGATCAGAAGTCTAAACATTGAGCTCGTTGTCTTGCTGGTTTAGATCAGTAGATATTGACACTGGTTTATGTACGTTCACCGACCGCTAACACAACTCACCAAACGGCTACAATCAAGGAAATTTTGTACAGCTTTTTTTGCGAGCATTCTTTTTGCACAGCCGGCATAGTAACGTGGCTA